CAGGAAAAGTAATTATCTGTTAATCATCACAGAAGTCAGAAGCCAACATAAAAGCATAAGTTATGTATAAAAAAAACACAAAAACAACACAACAACAGACCATGTCAGGTACCCATTTATCTAAATTAAAATCTTTATCCGTTTCAACGTAATAAGGAGCATAAACCTACTGATCCCATTAAATACAGCTGAAAAACATCTTACAGTGATGCTTTTCATCATAACAAAAGGTTAATCTAATAATCCTGTGCCATATTTGATGGTTATAAGACCTAGTCAAGTTTTATTTTTGGGGGTTGGTTTGTTGTGGTGTTTTTTTGTTGTTTTCCATTTGGTTGGTTTTTTCCTTAGGCTTGTGGGGGGTTTGCTTCTTTCTTCACTGCTGTTCTGCACCTACTTTCCACAAAATATCTTGTCTCCAACAGAGATAAGAGAAACCTTCATGGTATTTAAAAGTCTGCAGCATTTTTTCCACTACTAGCTGAAAATAACAGGGAAACAAGGACTTCAGTGCATTGCATTTTTTACCTCCTACAACACTACCTAAAATCACAAATTTTCTGAAAGCTCCTATGCTGTTTGTTATAGGGTTCTTTTCCAAATTAAAATTTGAATTGTGACTTAGAATAGTTGATGAATGAATGGTTATGTCCTTGCAGTTTTCTTCCACACAGTGCTGCCTATTATCTAGTGAATAAAGAATACTGACAGTCAATATTGTGGTCAAACCAGGTCAAACTGCAGCAATCAAAAGAAAATGTGTAAGTGTATAATGTAATGTTATTTCCCACACAACTGATTCTAAGATTCTAGGATAAAGTTTGCTGCATGGCCTAAATTATTGCCTAATGATTTATTTTTTTTTTTCATTTGGAGGCATTATCAGAAACAGAGAGAACAAATAAACTCAAACTCCTTGTGACTGCTTGCCTGTGTCTAAAACAATCCATTTGAATTATCAAAAAGGATAATAATCTTGCAGTAGAGGTCAAGTAACAGCAGAGCCAGGAACTGCAGCCTAATGGTGTTGGAACTTTTCAACCTCAAATTCCAGAGCTAAGCAAGTACAAACAGGTGGAGCTTCCATGTAAAAATACATATAAGTTCTTCAGATGCTGGCAACCACATCCATTTTTCCTCTTCCAACAGCTGGTGATCCGGCTATTTCTCTTCACTCTTACTTGAAGCCTTTGATACTCAGGTCAACTGATTAGAGAAAGCACCTTCCTAATTTATGTATATATAACCACCTGTGTCTTTTTAAGAAAGCCTCTCACCCTTGGGACTAGGAGGGGGAATAATTGGTATATATGAACTAGTCACATCCGAAAGATCATGAATAAAGAAACAAAGAGGGAAAAGAATCACAGAATGTAATGTCAGCATTTAGTGGCTGAAAATGGGAAAAACTGAAATGAGGAAAAAAAACTCAAGGTATTATACAGAAGTGGGCACTTGCCTGAATCTGTTCATTGCTCCTTTCCAGAAGAGTTAACATTATAACATTCTTCAGCTTCAAAGAGCAAAGAAGCATTTTGAGCACTAAGGAAATGTAGTTTTCCATGATGACTTCTTAAAATAGAAAATACAGAAATGATGGGGGAAATAGGATGCAATATACACATGTGTACCCACACAAGGGCAAAATGTAAGAACCAGTACTACAGTTCTCATTATTTGTCAACAGTTCATTTATGTTAAAAAGTTAAAAGCCTTTTTCCATAAATTTCAGTAGCTTCAGAGGTTAAAATTGAAAAAGCACTTTTGAGCAGACAGATTTGAAGTTATAATTTGGTCTTTTCCAATCTCCTAGCAGAAAAATAGTTTTTCATGCTATAGTTCTTAGGGGAATCCTCCAGCTTCCTGATGTGACAGTTGGGTTGTAAGCAACCCAGGGAAAGGAATTCAGCATTTCCAGCAGTGCTAAGCACAACGTCGTTGCTCCCATACATGACAAACAAGCCAGAGCATACAGAAGCAGGGGCTCATCTTTGATTTTTCCAGGCCTCTGCCAGTCTCTGAAGATCAGCACTTTAACCATTTGCCTCTGTCCTTTACTCTTGCTTTTTACCATGTTATTACATGAAAGCACATCTTATAATCTTGATCTCTCTCAGAAATTTAAAGGGCCACAGAAAGCTTAGAATTGCTGAGAATCCACTGGAGGTTTTCTGAACTCTCCTGCAGCAGTTGAGAGCACTGATGTGCCTTCTGCGGATTGGGGCAATTAGACGCATTCTGTTCAATGCCTCTTTTTACAAACAAACTAATATTTCATATTATCATGTGCAAGTATGGTCAAACAGCTCTTTTTCAACAGCCCTTGTGCAATATATTGAAATACAATGCAAGTATGCACCAAGTTTTCAAAGAAACATTCTTATATAAAAACACAAATTTCATTTTCTCAGCGTACAACTTAAGGAGAAATCAACTACTAGAATTATTCCCTCTTTATGTTATGATTACACTCTAAATCTAAAAGTTAGATTTGCACAACCCTCTTTAGAAACTACATAGGTGTTTCTTAATCAGGAAATGAAGAGCTAAAGTGCTGCCTACAAGAATCTCTAGGACAAAGTTGTCCCTAAACTTCTATACAGTGCTGAAGGCTTTCATAATCATAAAGTTATGTTTTAAAAGATCTTAGAAAGCAAACATCGATAGATTCTCAAAGGGAAAAAAAATTAACAACAGGAAAACCAAAAACTTTGAGATACTTCCTTGGTCTATCATTCAAGACTCTTTATCAATGAGAAATTTTGGGGATCAGCTGGAGCTGGGTGATCTTAGACAATGATCATCTGTACTGAATTCCTGGGACAACTATAAGGTTGGTTTTCATAATTAATTCTGAATCATCTGTTTAAATTTTAAGGAGCTATTCTCAGTCATCTGTGCTGTGTGTCAAGTGTCACAACTATATCTGAATTATGCAAAGGAAAAAAGTTGTATGTGACAGTCTGTTATTTTCCTATCAGAAATGAAAATGAATTCATAAAGCATTAGAGAGTTTGAGAGCCGATTTTGTAATCACAGCATCTACAACAAGAGAGCTGGCAGATCCAGGAAGGTTCCTAAGATAAATCCTTGTTTCTGTGTTTGGACACTTTTTACACTGTCCTGCTGCTACAAGCTTTCTGGAAAGTGTTGTACCCCTAAAAATACACCCAAGGCTGAATGTTTCCAGGAATTATTCAGCAAGCTTTGTTGGCAGCTGACCACAGAGACAGTCATTCTCTGCCAAAACAGGATCTTTGGAGATGTTGTTGGGCTCCCAGTCCTGACCAAGCACAAGTCATTTCCAGACCAGCTGCCAGTCTGGGCTGGTGGCAGCTGCTCCAGTTTGCCTTCCTCTCATCCTCACTGCTGCAGACACACACTGAGCCAAGGAAACCTGCCAGAAATCTCAGAAATCCCACACGCTGTCTTCCACTGCACAGTGGATGTGCTACTTGATGCACCTTAGTTCTTCAAGGAAGTTGCTGTATTTGTATCATTTCAGCACCAGTGTGGGATACAGACACATGCAAATACTAAGCAGGGGTTACTCCAGCAGCCCTCCTTCCTAGCTGATCCACTTCCTCAAGTGCTCCTCACAACCCTTTCACTTGATGTACTCTCCCCTATCTCCACAGCTCTCCTCACCACACACTTGATTTCACACAGGCTGTCCTGAGACTTATTCTGCCTAACACTGGTGCTTTTCAAGAGAATCACATTGCAGTGCAGTAAGAAACTGAAGTAAAGAGAAAGACATGCTCAAGAGCTGCAGAGTAGCTGGAAACTGAAAAGGATGAAAGCTAAAGCCCAATCTGTACTAGAGAAGCTTTGCCAGTGTAGCTGCATCCCAGATCTCAAGACACAGATGGTTTAAACAGCCCTGGAACTAATGGGCATAAATTAGCATTTATGCCAATTCACTGATTGAACACAATCCTTCTGGCTAAAATATTCAGGTGTGTCAATGCTAGGATTTAAATCCCTAAAAAAAATAATTAAAACAAAACAAACAAACAGAAGAGAAAGCCCAACAGCAAAACCTTCACACACCTGGAAAAGCACATGAAAGCAGCAAATGAGGACTTCCTGGTTATCCTGTGGTGCTCATAGAAAGTCTGAACAGTTACCTGCCCACATTAACGCTCTGCCTCCATGCATGAGAAAGCAGGTACAAGAATAGCTCTCTGTACTGTATCACCAGCAGTGTGGCACCCCATGCAGAGCATAGCAAAAACCACATCCTGGTTAGTATAGATCTAAATTTGAAGGCACAGAATCTGAATTTTAGAAAGACAGCCCCCAATCTAAGTGTATAAGTCATCAAGGCAAGTGGAAGTTATCAAGGTGAGGTAGCCTGGCATCCTCTGGTGGAAAAGCATTGTCTGAAAGAACAAAACCAAACATTCCTCCACAACAAAATCTTCTGCCATGGATCCATCACTTTGAGAAAGTTTTCCACAATTTTTTCCAGGTTTCCTCTCTGTCTTTCCCATGGAGACTGGGCAAAAAAGAACTATCTTGAGTTCTACTTCCTCTAAAAGACTGATGCTCTTAATATTCCTGCCTATTCCAAAATCATCAGCTTTAAGGACTGTTTTGTTTGTTTTGCTTGAAGTGCTTCTTGGCCAGAGCTACATGCACAGCATTCAGGGGAAATAGCCTGAATTGTCTGTTAGTCCTGATAAAGGAAGTGTTAGAGAAGTGCTATTTAGGGAAAACCCAATGCAGAGTTTACATCTGATAGGATTATCCCATGCTATATGGATAATAAGATCAAAGGGAAAAGACCTTCAGTCTCCAAGATGATCAGGTGAGGACTAGAACAAAGACAAGTACAGAGAAAGACACTGGGAAATATGCACTAAGACAAATACTATCTAAAATAGCATCAGTCTCCAAAACCTAGTCAGAGATGAGATTAAAGATTAAGTGAATTTTGCCATCTCTCCTAACTGTAAGAGAACAACCACAGACTTGTGCTTTCTTGTGTCACACAGAATTCTGCAGCAGAAGAGGAGCACAGGGACGTGTCGCCTCCACTCCCCTTCCAGCAAACTCTTCTGAGACCAATTCTCCCTCAAAGCTGTCCTGGTGATTACACAGCAGAAAAATAATTCCCCAGTTGTTGGACCAGGGTACAGTCTGAAAACTATGTTTTCTTATATTATAGATTGAAATAGAGATCTTTTCCAGACACACATTTGAAAATATTGATTTTTTTGTTGCTGAACCTCTTTCTTGTAAAAGAGTTTCAAAGGGAGGTCTGTCACTGAAGGAGGGTTGGGATTTGCAGCTGCACACACAAGTGTTTTCAGAGGGCTGTCAAAGAACACATGGCCTCAAAGCATAAGGATGAGTGGGAAGTGGGAGAAACAAGGTTGCATTTTATGACTGTTCAAGCAAACTAAAACTGCATCTCAACCTCCTTGCTCCAGCACTGCTTTGTAATTCCTACAGGTTGCAATCCCCTACCTGAAAGGCAGTTTTTTGGAACACAAGCAAAGCCATTCTGCATTTTCAACCCTCTGTCCAAATTTAGTTGATAACAATGAAAACAAACCACTTCTGTCTAGTAAGAAACTAGCTGTACAAATTAGATAAAAAATGGATTAGTCACTTTTTTGATTCACTACCAATCAAAAATAAATAAATAAATAAATACATAAACCCTTCAAATGAAACCAAACAGGAACTTTGCTTTTTCTTTACCAGGACTAAAGTAAAAATTTTAAACCCTTTCTTAATACAGATAATTTTTGGTTGAATGGAACATTTCAGGCATGTTTAGATCTAAACTAAACAATGGATAAATGCCAAAGAGCAGGGATGGGAAGTGAGTGGACCACTTATGTTATGGAGGGTTCAAGCTCAGATCCCAAGTCCAAGGGATATGTGCCTCTAAGGATAGGGTGCTGTCCACATGGTTACATGGCATTTTGTCTTTAGAGAACACTTGCCATCATGAACATGCCATTCTGCTCAGTGTGGAGCTCACACTGGAGGCTGGGGTGCTCAAACACTCTTTCTCACATTTATTTATTTATTTATTTAAACAGCTGTGAGCATCAGCAGCAGAGAAGATGTCAGGAAGCAGCTCCCATGGGGATTGCTGTCCAGAATCTGATCTTCTGGGGCTCTTCCACAACATATACAACACATCAGCCAACTAGCCAAGCCATTATCCTGAGAGATCTGGACTAGAGGTTCAGACCAGCCTCAAATAAGAGAGGAAACCAAATCCCTTCATCTAACAAATTATAGAAACAAATCACTGTCATCTCTTCTGGAGAACTATGACTAGGGGAATGAAATTTTCTCTTTCTCCAGCCAAAAATGATCAAATCATAACAGGTTCAGTCTGTGACCACCCAAGAACTGAAGCTGGATTTGGGAGTCGTGTTATATAAGCAAGTCCATCATCCTGTGTTCTTGCTGCTCCTCCTTCCCTCCCCCCCACACCCCTCAGCTAGATTAAAACAGATGGCAGAGGGACATGAAATAAAGAGCAAACCCAGGCAAGTGACTAATTTTCCAAAAGGAGACAGAAAGACAAACCCTAAACTTCAACATTAGAAGCAGCAAGGAATGCATAATTACCCTCTGAACATCAAATTCTTCCACATAAGCAGATGCAGTGGTTGCTACAGATATCATGACAACAGGGAGGGGAGGGATCCTCCAGGCAGGCTTGACAGGCAGTCTGAGACTACACTGCAGTCCTAGAGGCACAAACAGAGAACCTGGCAAAGGAATCACAGTAGGAAACATGAAGGTGAGTAAATCCCACCAAGGAGATGAGGACAGAGCTATTCCAGTGCTTTCATTTTACCAGAGAGCACTGTCTTCATTCCAGTCCCGCTGGAGTTGGTGCTTCCATCTCTCCTGTCAGCACCCAGTGGCAGAAGGCAAATTCCCTTTCCTTGGCAGCTTGAGGAAGGCTTCAGACTTTGCATTTCAGTGGAAGCCCTACCCAGCTCTGTTGGTTTTGCTACAGGAGCAATAACATGACAGAGCAGACATTTGGGGTGGTAATTTTCAGGGCTAAATCTATCAGACTTTGTCATTTTAGCCATTTGGGATTATTTCTGCTGGCTGAACAAATTTAAAGAGACATCCAGAAAATTTAAAGCAAGCATAATCTTTGTTATGCCTGACACAAAGCATACTGCAGCACATCATTTTGCCAACAGAAGGACTTTTAAGACTGTTACACAGCTAAGAAAAGCACCAAATCCAGGTTCAAGGCACAGAAAGGGACTTTCCTTTGCCATTCTGTAAGAAATCAGAGTGCCTGTGCTCAGAGATGGAGGTACTTATTCTCCAGGACTCAGATTTGTTTCCCTCCTGCGTTATATTGGTATTCAGGGCATGATGCAAATCCTATTTATTTGCCCGTGCTTCTCTTGAGGCGTGCTTGGGAGACAAAATTCCACATTATCTTTAGTTGATATTAGTTCAATTGATTTATCTGTAATTTTGCAGTTATTTGTCGTCTGTGTTTCTAGGTCTGTTGTGACCTTTTACAAGTGGAAATTATAAATAACTCCAGTTTGTGGAGACTCAGACAGCAAAACCTAAACAGCTTTTAAGATATTCCTCCAGTTGCCAATACATTTCAGGTCCAGACTGTGCTCAATCCCATGGACTGGATAGCATCATCCAAAGAGGGAATCTTAAGCATTACTTTAGCATGCACATACATTTGCTGACAGATTAAGAACTGGAAATAACTCCAAGTTCAGACACGGGAAAAAAAAGAAAAGTAAGGTTTGAAGCATGCAGAAATGCAGACTGGGAAAGGAGAGTTGGCAACCTTGTAATTTCTGCTTCGCACTTCAGTCTGCTGACAGACATCTACTTTTGATTCCAGGAAAGGCAGGTTTGCTGCAGCAGCCTTCAGCTGGCAAGGAACTTCCCTTGCAAACCTTCCCTGCCTTGTCCCAGGGATACACTGTGGCTTTAGGAGCCTTAGCAAGAGTTACTGGTGGGAAAGAATTTAAGAACACCAAGAATCAAGTGAAAGTGTCCCTCTACCCTTCCTCCTCTGTTGGGATACCAGGGCTCAGGCTCAAAGAGCCTGTCCCCTATCAGATTCAAGCACAAGCTCATCTTTCTTAAATGGATTTTTTTAATCCAAAGCAGTAATATTTCCCTCTATTCACACTTAATATGATGGATGGAGCTAATTGTCATTAGTACATCACTTGGTCAGTATCTAAAGACACACAGTCACTCTAGGAAGACATTGTATACATTTCTAAAGCGTCATAAAAAATTTTACATCCAATTGGCTTGCACATCAGAGCAGCCAACAGAGCAAGGGACTCTTGCTAGCAAGTGAAGTGTTTCATTTCAAAGCCAGTTGAATCCTGGTGAGAGGTGGAAAAGTAGGAACTTTCTCTGCCCAGGCACAACTTTGTGTTTACTTAAAGCATGAAGGCTGCTATTGCTGCCTGCAGCAGTTTAAATGCCCTAAATTCAATCCTTGTCTGATTACTGTTACTGTTTATAATTAAGGCACATTTTGCTAATGAACCCAACAAAAAAAAAAGAAAAAAAAAAGAAAAAAGCAAACACCTTCTCCCACCCTTCACAGCACTTTCAGAAAACCTGTATTCGAAAGCAGTACTTAAAACCTAATCAGCAAGTTTTCTCCCTGCCAATGCTTAAAGCAAAATAAAAATAATAATGATGAAAAAAAAGAATCAGGCCCAAAAATCAACAGCTGTACATTTCTAGCAGTTCAGGCTGCAGCCAGAACCCTAAAAAGCAGACTGATGATGCCTTTCCCAAAGGTTTTCCCAGTCATGTTTCTCCAGCATTAGGGATTTTTATTAATTTTCCAGGTTTTCAAAGGCAGAAAAGTACTGTTTTCCAAACCTGGAAGGTCAGACTAAAGCTGTTGAACAAGAGCAATTACATTGTTCCTTTGTAAATCCTAGTCACAAATGGGGGGGGTTATGGGCTTAAACACACACACACATGCTCAGGAAAAGCTGAAACACCAACAACATCCTTTTTCCTTGAGCAGCTACTAGACAAATTCAATGTTTACTTCTGTGATAAGGCTGCACAGACAATTTCACCCATGCCTTCTAAACATGATCAGTAAGATGATATATGTGTGTGTTTACAGACCAGGAAGTATTTACATTCAGGTCACCCTAATATGCCAGATCTGGAAGGGAAGGAAGAAAGATTTGTCGAAGTGGCTAATTCCTCCCATTCCACAAGAGATAAATCATGCTACTAAGAGAAAGCAATAATAATAAACAAACTAAGGTTCCAGGGAATTCCTCTTGTTTAACAGTGAATTAGCAGAAGCACTGAAATTAATTTGCTCAAAAATTGACAAGGAAAGGCTAAAGCAGAGGGGCAGAGGCCAGCTCTCCTGCATCTTAATCCAGTGAACTGTCTCCAGGACCATCCTTCATACTCCTAAAATTGGGTTGGTTGCTTGCTGAGGACAGAAGCCAGCCATGGCAACTGACTGAACTTAGTTCCTCTTAAGAAAAAAAACAGAATTAGGCCACTTTGGCCATTAACAAAAGAGAAGGAAGCAGCAGTCCTTAAATACTGCAAACGCTTCAACTCCACATATTTGTAAAACAATCTTTTTAGTTAATGATCACCCAGTAAAGCTGCACAAATTCCCACCAGTTAGAAAAGGATCCCCACCCCACTTGACCAGGAAAGCTACCAAATTTTGTGACTGGCAGACCTAAGCAACACAGCCCTCTGCATGGCTCTGCCTCCACACAGAGTCATAATCACTGTACAGAAATGTGCAAACCAGCACATTTCTGCCACTGTGCTTCTCATAAAGAGCCTCCAAATCACAGCAGCATTAAGGAAACTACTTATTCCTGTAAGCCACTTTTACAAATCTACCCACACTATCTTCCTTACTCCACGGTCTCAAACTGAAGAATCCTTCAAAAATGATTAATCAGCTTTCATTAGCTCTAAATTGCTTTTTTTCCTTGCTTGCAATTAAGGACTAATATCCAAAGAGTTAAAAATTTATAAGGTGATTAACCATAATGAGTAACTGTTTTAAAGTGTGATCAACTGCTGAGTATCAACAGATATCCTAGTTTTTCCCAATAAACTTTTTTTCCCTATGTATTTGCACAAGCTCAAAAAGGAAGATTTATTTAGGAAAGGTTGAACATTTACCAGATAATAGCATATGTGTGTGTCCTTTCCCTAGAAGCTATAGACAAAAATATCTCCAAAATAGAAATCAGAGTGGATTCAGAAAGTTTTAAGGTGACATTGACATGATGAAAAATGTATTTTTACACCAGTAAAGTATATTTCAAGTTCAGAGAGAGAACACAGAAAGCACACACATGTTGTGATCAGCTCATGTACAGGACAAAAATCTGCTCAGTAAATACCACCAGATAAAATACATTTCCTTTCCTTCCATTCAATTAAATGTTGGTTAGCTGGTGCTAAAAATATTTTTGAGTAGTAAGTAGCACATTAAGCAGTGCCCAGGTCAAAATATCAAACCAAGTGAGTGAGTTGGGTCCAAGACTATAAGCAGTAAATGAGATTCTTTTCCAGCCACTCCAGCATAATATCAAAAAGCTTTAGTTATATTATTGAAACCAAATTTCTGAAAGAAAAAATAATTTCACATGTTTCCATACAGGTGGCATCCAATGTAACACAAGTGCAACTCACTACACTCAAAAATCTGTCAGAGATAACCCCACTTAGGGGTATTCACCACTTAGGGATTCATCAAGCAGATATTACACAAAAAATTACAAGTCAACACTCACTAGAGGATGAAACCTGACCCTCTTTGGAGTAGAGCTTGCCACTCACAGTCAAAGCTGGAAACTCCAATTCAGCTGCACTCTGCAGGGTACTCAGAAACTCTTCTTGATAAGAACATATCTCCAGAACACAACCAATAACTTATGTCATCAGTATTGCCCTGTATTTTCCTTCCTGAAGAGCCATAGGAGGAGTTAGGCTATTTCCATAGAGAGAGTCATCAGCAGAACAAGTAACATCCAAGTTTTCTGAAGTTTTCTTTGGCAGAAACCACAGAACAGCAAAACTTGAGGAAAAGTAGAGATGTTCTCAGGACTCTAATGTTTATATTATACTTCAATTAGACAATAAGTGAACCATTTGAAGCTTTAAAACATATTAAGCTGTTTCATTTTAGAGATGTGTAAGAGGAAGACATAAAATGACACTTTCATCACACAATTTTTTTCTTCTCCTGTTTGTACGGTGTCACCCTGGGACATACGGCAATGTTTCACATTTCTGTTTTCTCTTCAAAACTATGTCCCAGTTAAGAAATCCCATCTTTAGCTAATACACGAAGAATGAGTCATTTATTGATGGGGGAAAATGAGTCTATACGGGGAAAACAAGCATTATGCCTGCTGGATTAATGTTTTCAACAGCCATTACGTTGCTTAGTGGAGCAGACAGCATGAGCCTAAGAGTAGTATTAGTGCTTACTTTAGGATGAGGTTGTTCACATTTAACCAGGTTCAGGACTCCTCTACAAAGCATTCAGAATAAGTGCTTTTAGCTGGAGGGGAAATAAGTATTTTTAGCCACTTGACGAAACAGGCTGGAGTCTGGAGCCAGAATAATTTCTAATGATAAGTCTGAACTTCTTGCAAGCTTAGGGCCATCAGTCTTTTAAGATGACAAAAATCAAGGGTGCATTATCTGAATGTTTTTACTTTTCCAACAGGTAACTGCTACAGGTAAAGATCGTCTTTAAAAGCAAACATGGATTTAATAAACTCAACTGAACAAAACATTACATCAGAAGAACCTTTCAAATGGGCAACATCCAAGATTCTCATTTCCATTACCCTGTCTGTGCTTGCTCTAATGACAACGGCCATCAATTCTCTTGTGATGACTGCAATAATTGTGACAAGAAAACTCCACCACCCCGCCAACTATCTAATCTGCTCTCTTGCAGTGACTGACTTCCTTGTGGCAGTCCTGGTGATGCCCTTCAGCATTGTCTACATTGTAAAGGAGACCTGGATCATGGGGCAGGTGGTGTGTGACATTTGGCTGAGCGTGGACATCACGTGCTGCACTTGTTCCATCTTGCACCTCTCCGCCATTGCTTTGGACCGGTACAGAGCGATCACGGATGCCGTGGAGTATGCCCGGAAAAGGACACCTAAGCACGCTGGCATCATGATAGCAGTTGTATGGATCATATCCATCTTTATCTCCATGCCACCTTTGTTTTGGAGGCACCAGACAACCAGCAGGGAGGACGAATGCATCATCAAACACGACCACATTGTTTCCACCATTTACTCCACATTTGGCGCCTTCTACATCCCGCTGGCCTTGATCCTGATCCTTTACTACAAGATCTACAAAGCAGCAAAGACATTTCACAGGAGAAGTGTCAGCCGGATTGTGAGGGAGGAGGGTGTGAATGGACAAGTCCTTTTGGACACAGGTGAAAGAAGCACCAAATCAGCTTCAATGCCCAGCACAACAGAGAAGACCTCAGATCCCGTGGCGAGCTCTGATAAAATCAACATCACCCTACGAAGCCCCAGGTCTGAATCCAAGCATGAGAAGTCCTGGAAAAAACAGAGAATCTCCAGCACAAGGGAGCGAAAGGCAGCAACGACGTTGGGTTTGATCTTGGGAGCATTTGTGATCTGCTGGCTCCCGTTTTTTGTAAAAGAAGTAGTTGTTAATACCTGTGAAACATGTCACATCTCAGAAGACATGTCTAATTTCTTAGCATGGCTGGGATATATAAACTCTCTCATTAACCCTTTAATCTACACAATCTTTAATGAAGATTTCAAGAAAGCCTTCCAGAAGCTTGTACGGTGTGGGCAATACCTTTAAGAGCTTTTGTTCATCTAAGGAGAACATAGTCATTGTTTTTTAACCTGTATAAATTTATATAACTGAGATGGCATTTGTTGTATTTAAGGCAAAGCACCAGGACTCTGCATTTACATTATAATGACTTCTTTTGTATAGGTAATATTGGGAGCATTAATTGCCCAAGTTTTAAAGAGATGGATCATCTGGGATTGGTTTTGCTCTAGAAAAAGAGGTATTATATTGTGGCTCTGATCCAGTTGGGATTTGCACAACTGCCTAGCTTGAAGCATAAGGTATTACTGTAAATGTCAAGGAAATACGCACTTCAAGTAAACAAAGAAACAAAACTTTTTTAAAAGTAACCCTCAGTCATCAATGAAATGTTAAGTAAAACAACACACACTTTTAAACCCTACTGATGGGTATAAGATTCTATCTTATGATAGAAAATACACCATGGAATGACAACATGATTTTAACAGTCTGGCACAGGCCTGCAGCATAAAGCCAAGTCATTCACAGCCAAGGGTAGTAGCTTTAAATATATCTACCATCATCCCATGTCAGCCAGCTGAGTGAGCTGCAGCCCTGCCTTGTCCCATAAATGGACTTCCCTGTCTTACACAGCACCCCAGCAGCAGGCAAGGGGCTGTCACAGGTTACCAGTTTCACAGCAAGCCAGTGTTGGGAAAGAGAAATATCAACAGCCAAATATCTGGGGCACCCTCAGTGAGCTGGGAACACAGAGTACCCAGTGCTCTGAGATACCCCTTCCGTGGGGAAGGGAAGGCTCATAAAGGGCAGCTGATTCTCCTTGTTGAGATATTAGAAAGGAAAGAAGCAGGAGACAAGGAGACACTCCTTCCTCCATGTCCTCACACCTGGCCAGGCACAGAGCCTGTGACCCGCAGCACCACACCAGCCACAGCTCATGGCAGGGCTGAGCACTGCTGACAGAGGGTGGCTTAGGGAGGTTTGAAGAACTAGGGCTGCCAGCTCCAGCTTGGCATGTTCAGCCCTCCATCCTCATGCAGCAGGAGCAGAGGGAGTGACCTCAGTATGTACTGCACACCTGGGCAGGGGAGCCTGTGGGATGCTCACCTCTAAACCCCTTCTTCCCCCAGAGCACCCATCCACATCCCCATTCCCAGCAGAGTTAAAAAGGCATTACAAGAACTTCAGCCTGCCCTAACTTATTTAGTCAAGGATGGCTCAAACAAATCCCTTCCAAGGCCTGAAAGATGGCAGCTTGGCCAATCCTGACTGACATGCTCAAGATGCCAAGCCATAAAGTTGTTAAGAACCACACCAAAGCCCAGGTTTTGCACTTTTCAGGAAAAACATATTCATGCTGTGTCACTAAGAGCCCAGTTTCAAATTCTTTGTCAGAATTCAGTGCTGCCTCACAGGAACTGGGACTTGAGGGCCCTTACAGGGACTCCAAACCCCACTGTCAATAGCAGCAAAAGTGCTCCAATTTGGCACCTGGGCAGCAGCCAAGGGACACCACAAAGGAACTAAGACATAACAGCACCATGGTCACCTTCAGTTGGGGAAAGGTGTCACTGTCCCTTGAAGCTGTTCTTCCAAGAGACTTTCAGGGATTTGCATTAGACAAAAAAAGAAAAACACTGGAGAGAAGTCATCACTGTTGTTTCTCCCCCTCTCCCTCCTCTGTATTACAAAATCTGGAGTTTGTAATAATTTTTGTATTTTCCCAACTGACTACCAGCTGACACAACACCTGGTCAGAGGGGTTTCCTGCAAGATGATGAGGTTTGAAACTTGAGATACTGATTTGTTTCTGTCACTTGCAACTTACTGTATTCTGCTTTCACATCAAGGTCCAAATGAAATGCTATTCAGAATTATCAGAAACAGTGCATTTGCTTTGCCATTGATTGTAATGCAGCCAGGAATCTAATGGAAAGCTCACTTGTCACAACATGGAGCTCTAGCACAGCAGTGGCACGGCTAAATTTTGAAGATACTGGGATGCGACAGAGTGGAATTGGCTCATGCTCAGTTCAAGCCAGAACACTTTATTACCATTGCAGTCAGAGCACAGTCTCTGCAGCCCCCATGACCTCAGCACTGGCTGCATTATGCTGAGAGAAAAAATTGCTCTCAGCATCAGCTATCGCCAGAAAGAGCCATGAAATCTAGCTTTCCAAAAGGATTAGCAGATTAGCAGTGGGCATCACAGAAAACCCCACTAAATCATTCACTCTTGAAGACCTCTGTTTCCCACATTTCCTGAGCCATAACCCTGGGTGTCTTGGGGGAATCCATCCCTCGCCCCCTGGCTCTCCCTTTATGGCTGCTGGAGTACAGGCTATATTGTTTATCCTCTTACTCGTAAGATGCTTGACAATATCTTGTGAAATCAAATTGGAAGGAAAAATAGAGGCTGCTTTTCAGGAGAAAAGATACTTAAAACACTCATTTAAATAATAATGGGTGAAGTTCAAAGGAACCATATGTAGATAAACAGAAAATAGCTGTCATATGCACTGTTAACAGTATTATACTCTGAAACTAATTAAGCTGCTAAACATTTCTCAAGATGCAAGGTGGTTTCTTTTGTATAGTTTTCACTGAGCTGTATCTGCTCATCCTTCAACGCAGCAGTGGGAGAGGCAACTACAAGAAATCTGATCAAACAAGTGGGCAGTTATTCCATTAAAAGCACTTGTGGCTTGTGGACCATCATTTCTTGGTGTCTGACTGCGACTCATCACTCATTCCCTTACAGAACCCACTGTGCCAAACACTTCCCCACACAGCACCACACAGTTATCATTTCATCTCTAGCATTTACCCATGCATGTGATGTATCCAGAAAAAAAACAAGAATTCCCCTTTCAAAATGGATAAAGGTTAAGATGTCTGCAGGATGCTGCCTTTCCTCCACACGAGGCACACAGGCTTCCACTGGACCTTAGCACCAGGTTCAAGGAGCACAATGGAGCAAGATTTTATGCACTGGAGCTAAGATTTTTTTGCAAGTAGCTCTGTGCCCTGTGAGAGTTCAATCTCAGTAAAGAGAAAAAAAAAAAAAAGTGTCTGGTTTCCCACCTCTGTCAGAAGACTGAGTGTATTTCAGGGAGAGGGTTTACATGTTCTCCAGAGTTTGCACAAAGCTTCCTGGGTCACTATTTCTGCTGCAGCTGCCCTCCCCTTTGCTGTTTGCTGCCCACCCGTCGGTTTAGATTTCTTCCAACACCCAGAGAACTGGATTTGGAGCAGCTGACCCACTCTCCCACTTCAGCTTTCTCAGAGAATGGTTCCTAAAGCAGCTGTGAACATGATATCCAGCTCAGGTGGATGGTTTACTAACAACAAGCAGTTAGACACACCTCGTTATGCTGTACCCATTTCTTTGCCTTTCCTCCCTGCCAGATGCTTTATTGGTGTCCTTTTCTCTTGAGGATGGCATATCCCTTACAAAGAGCTTGGGGACTCAAAAATATATTTGTTTTAGTGATGCAGTCACACTTGTTAACACATGACTGTACCACCCAGAAACACCCACCTCATCCAAATGCGCTTTTGGCAGTCACTGTCTTCAGCTGGTGCCTGATTGTTCTCGGTGCTGGGGAGGTGCACGGAAATAGCTCTGTGCCAAATTATTTTCTCCAGTAGTTACAAACTCAGCACATTATTTCTAGGCAAGTACACATTACTACTCGACCTCTGCACGTCAGATTCCCCTCGCAGAAGAGAAACAGAAATTCACTGCTGTAGCTGCTGAAAAAAAAAAAAATAACAAAAGAACAAAAAAGGGCTTTTCGGAAGTCTGCACACCAAAGAGTAAGTCCTGCAAGAAAGTGAGAGGAAACCCTTGTAGCAGCCCTGTAAAGATTAACAATTCTAACACTTGTGTCAGTTCTGCTATAGGGGCAGTACTACCAACAGCAGAACTGCTAAAAATTACCAGCAAGATGTTGATATCTCCTCCCCTATGAAATGCTGAAATTAACTAAACCAAGTAATTTTTTTCAGATTTGCCATTGTCTTCTGGAGAGCCAGGATCAAATTTCTTATTTTGCTCCTCCACCAGGAAAGCTAAACCTCCAAGAGAAACATTTTTTATTTTTTTTATTTAGTGTTTCTAACCATCATAAAGACACTCAAAAAAGCTAAAAATTGATGATACTGATCTTGGCTAAGAGGAAAGATTACAGAGAACAGAACAAACAGAAGTCAGCAGCAAGGGCTGTGAACAGCCAAGGTTACCAGCAAAATTCAAAACAGACTTTCTGGTGTTGAATCTCCCACACATAATGGACATCAGTGACTGAAAGAAACTTTGTATCCTCACTTTCTATCCTAACTTACTAAAGTATGAGTTTCATAAATTTCAGTTGTTTACTTCACATTCTAATGAGTTACTTCTTAAGTAAGAACTCTGCAACTCAGGAAAATTTCAGAAGGGAATATTTTCAGGCAAGGAAAAAGTACTGTGTTTCATTAGTCAGAGTACATTAGTACAATTATGAATTCAAAATTCTGTTTGGGGCAGTGTAAAGTCAAAGATGCTGCTAATTGAATGCTATTGCTTTTTATCCACTAATAGCTTAAACCAATTGTATCTACTCTTGTTTATAATATAATACTATTATATATATTATATATAAGCCTAAAATATAGTTTTGAAGGTATTCACTGCTATGCACCAGATGGGAAGTACTAATAAAAATTAGCCTCTCTTTCCACTTTAAAGCATGTTACCTCCTATACATGGATGATATTTTCCCCTCACTAAATTAAGACTTTTTCCTTTCTTCCTGTACACCCATTTATCTGAAACTCAGAGCTGTATTTCATGGTTTGGGTTTAAAGATGAAAAACATGTTTAACACCACAAAAAGCGCTAACTGCTAATGCTAGAAGAGGGATTAATCTTCTCACTTTCGGTTTAGATCATGACTGGTGGTAGACATTTAATGCAATAGCTGGTTCTGTGCTGGCAGCACTCCAAGATGCAAAAGCTGTGGCTAATTTGTATGACAGCAAGCGTCTGCTAAGCAACTCACTCTTGGCTAAGCCTGGTTTCCCATCTTTCACAGCACAAAGCTGCATGAAACAGTCCACGGCCATGAAATAAGGAATCAGCCAGTTTGCACTCCAGCTGTTTCTTGTCTGGCAGTCACTGGAAGATAGTTGCCCACAAACTCACACCACTAACCAACAGCAGCAAAGCTGTGCCTGCATCCACAGCAAAAAAAAATATTTCATCTACTACTTTGGAGACAGCCTGAACTGACTCATGAACAGGTGGGATCAACACAGAGCAACACTGCTCCCAGCCAGCCACAAAAAGAGATCCCTTCAAGGAGAATGATTAGCAAAACTCTGTTGAATTAAAGCTCTGGTCAATACAGTGCTTGCATTCTCTGCCATCAAAAAGTTCACTTCTGAAGCCTGAGGTGATCCATCAGCTTAGATATACACAAAAATACTGGAATTTAAGATAAGAAAAATTCAAGCTAAATGTTTTCAGGTTGGGGATTTGTCTTCCACATCTACTTTAACAGCCAGTAAACCGTGGTCATTTTGAACCCAAAACAGTTTCCCAAGATATAACACCTAAGCAAGACTTCATTTTTTCACACACATAAATATAAGATATGTTACTATTGGACTGTTTCAAATCTCTTTTATTGATGGTCTCTTGCATTT